AATCAGGGCCCTGGACATATCTATCCATGTTCATAAAATCAATATGTCTGGGATCTCTAACTCAGTTCTTCACTTCCTGCTCTTTCATGTTTTTATGCACTGCTGGGGATTGAAACTAGGGCCTTGTTGGGGTCGGGAATTTAGCTCAGTGGTTCTGCTGCCTGCCTAGCAAGTACAAGTTCCCAAGTTTGATCCCTGATACCAAAAAAAGAAAGAAAGAAAGAAACTAGGGCCTTGCACATGCTAGGCAAGTGCTATACCACTGAGCTACACTCAGCCTTTTAATTTTGAAACAAGTTCTCCCTAAACTGCTTGGGCTGGACTAAAATTTGTGATCCTCCTGCCTCAGCTTCCCGAGTAGCTGGGACTACAGGCATGAACCACAGTGCCCTCCTGCTCCATTCATGATCTCTCTCTCTCTCTCTCTCTCTCTCTCTCTCTCTCTCTCTCTCTCTTTTTGGTTGTGGTTTTTTGAGACAGGGTCTCACTATCATATTCTCATTCTCATTCATTCTCCCTCCATCTTCTCCTTCTTCCTTCTTCCTCCCTCCACCCCCTTGTTTTCTCTTTCTTTCTCCCTACCCCTACCCCTCTCTCCAGAGTCTCACTATGTAGTCCAGGCTGGTCTCAAACTCATGGAGCTAAGGGCTATGGTATAGAAAAAAATATTCATTCAGTGATTACTACTGCTGGGGATTTAGCTCAGTGGTTCCACCACCTGTCTCAATGATTATTGCTTACCAGGGACTGTCTAATAAGAGGGAGACAGGGAGACAAACAATACAGCAACATGACTAAAATACATAGTTTTTCAGATGGTGATAAAGCGCTATGGGTAAAAACAAAGCATCAAAGGAGGCTGGGCATGGTGGTGCACACCTATAGTCCCAGCACTTCGGAGGCTGAAGCAGGAGGATCACTGTGAATGTGAGGCCAGCCTGAACTCTATACTGAGATCTTGTCTCAAAGAAAAAAACAAAAACAAAAACAGACTGGTCAATTCAGCAAGACCCTGTTTATTTTGTTTTTTGTTTTTGGTACCGGGGATTGAACTCGGGTCCTTGCGCTTGCAAGGCCGGCCACTGAACCGCTGAGCTAAATCCCTGGCCCTACAAGACCCTGTTTAAAAAAAAAAAAAAAAAAAAAAAAAAAAAGCATAGGGGATGGGAGGGCATGGGAGCCCTGAGAATGTAGCTCAGTGGGAAGGCTCTAGGTTCACCTCCTGATACCAGTAATAATAATAATAATAATAATTGTAAAGGATGGGGGGGATCTTCTACACTGCTAGTAGGAATATAAATTAGGACAGCCTTTATGGAAATCAACATAGAGGTCCTTCAAAAAAATAAAAAGTAGAGCTACCATTGCATTCAACTATACCACTTCTTCATATACATACAAAGGAATTAAAGTCAGCATACTACAGAGATACTTATACAGCCATGCTTACTTCAGCACAACTCACAATAGCCAAGATACAGAACTAGCCTGGGTGCCCGTCAACAGGTGAACGGATTTAAAAGTGGCATATGTACACGTGAAGTGTTATTCAGCAATAGAGGAACACAATTACGTCATCTGCAAGAAAATGGATGGAACTGGAGACCTTCATGTTAACAAAATAAGTCAGACGCAGAAGAGCAACTACTGTATGTTCCCCCAAATATGTGGAATCTAAAAAAGATGACATCAAAGTAGAAGGGAGACTATTATTGACAAAAGGATGGGAATATGCATAAGGGAAGGAGGTTATAAGGAGTGGTACAGTGGGGATGCATATGATCAAAATATATGCACTAGGGCTGGAGATTTAGTTCAGTGGCACGGCTCCTGCCTGGCAAGTGCAAGGTCCTGAGTTCAATTTCCAGTTCCACATGTGCGTGCACACACGCACACACACGCATGCGCGCGCGCGCGCGCACACACACACACACACACACACACACACACACACACACAAATATGCACTAAAGCCAGATGTGGTAGCACACACCTATAATCCCAGCACTCAGGAGGCTGAGGCAGGAGAATCACTATGAGTCCAAGACCAACCTGGGCTACAGAGTGAGTTCCAGGTCAGTCTCAACTACATAGTGAGACCCTGTCTCAAAAAACAAAAACAAAAACAAATATGTATTAAAACTCAATATTTTTTGTAAAATTAATCAGTGCTACTAAAAAAAATTTTTTTTTTTCTTTTGAGACAGGGTGTCCCTACGTAGTTCAAGCTGGGCTTGAACTCACTATGTAGCCCAGACTGGCCTTGAATTTGCAGCAATCCTGCTGCCTCAGTCTCTGGAGTCCTAGGGTTATAGGCATGCCCCACTATGTCCAGATTTCAGGCTGGGTATAGTGACATACACCTATAATCATAGCATTATACAAGGCTGAGACAAGAGCTGCAAGTTCAAGCCTAGCCTGGGAAATTTAAGCTGTGCATGGTGGCATATGATTGTAATCCCAGCACTCAGGAGCTGAGGCAGAAGGATTGCTCCAAGTTCAAAGACAGTCTGGGCTACATAGTGAATTCAAACCTAGCCTGAACTATACAGTGAGACCCACCCCCAACAACAACAACAGCAAAAAAAATAAAATAAAAAAGGGTTAGGGATATAGCTCAGTACAAAGACTCTAGGTTCAATCCCCAGTACCACAGATAGCGATTTCAAGAGAAAAAAATGTACAAAAATGAAAACAAGATACAAAAACTAAGATTTCTCTGCTCATATGATAGGAAAAGGAGGAAATAAATACTACACCACTTGACTTTTACATGATCTCATCTAATGTAGGGTAGGTATTACTAGACCTATTCAACAGAGAGGAAATTGAATAAGCCAGAATTCCAATTACTATCCATGCTTGCTCCTCTATATGACAGTGTTTCCTACAAAAATATTATCTTCTTATATTATTGGTTCTGGGTCTTCAGCTCAGGATCCCATGCATGCTAGCAAGCATGTGATCACTGAACTGTATCCCCAGTCTATTTTTAATATTCTGACAAACTGCTATACTGTTCCAAAATGGCTGTACCATTTCACATTCCCATATGCAATGCATAAGTGTTCTAATTTCCCCATATTTTTGCCAACACTTGTTATTTTATGTTTCTTTTGTTTTTTGCAGTACTGGGGACTGAACCTAAGGCTTTTGCATTGAGCTACATCCTCAGCATTTTTTATTCCTTTTATTTTGAGATAGGATCTCACTAAATCATTCAGTTGCTCAAACTTTTTCTCTTCCTGCCACAACCTCCCAGAGTGCTGGGATTACAGACATCTACCACCCCATCCAACTTCTTCCTTTAAACTGGTATTTTCTCCAAAACAATAATTCTTTTTTTTTTTTTTTTCTTTGTGATGCTGGGTCCCAACCCCTACTCCTTATGCATGCTAGGCAAGCACTCCGCCAATGAACTACACCCTCAGCCCCTATATATATATATTTGTGTACTTACTATTTCTGGGGAGAAGATCCATGGCTATCACCATGTTCTAAAACAGTGTAAGAGTGAAACAGGTATATGAGAGAAAATGTTAAGAGAAAAGGTTAAATATTACTCTGGAGTAACAGGGCTTCCCTGTAATCCATCAGGTGGCTGTTTGTGAAGTAAGATGCAAAGGCATAAAGGAAGTTTAATCATCCCATAAAGAATGAAGTGCTGGACTAGGGATTTAGCTCAGTGGTTCCACTGTCTGCCTTGCAAGCACAAGGACCCAAGTTCGATCCCCAGTACACAAAAAAAAAAGAATCAAGTGTTGGCCTGGATTTAGGTCAGTGGTTCTGCCGCCTGTCTCACAAGCGCAAGGGCCCGAGTTTGATCCCCAGTACCAAAAGAAGAATGAAGTGTCAACACAAGATCCCTGATCTGCCCAGGATAAAACTTCAGACACTCGGTTGTTTTTGGTGCTGGAGATTGAACCCAGAGCCTCCCCATGCACATGCATTTTATCACTACACCCTCTGCCCAAATGCTCAGTTTTTTAAAATTTCAAAACAAAGGCATGGCATAGGTAAATCTGGAAAGAGAATAAACCAAATAAAAGGAACATCTGAGCCAGGCATGGTGGCACACGCTTGTAATTTCAGCAAACTTGTAATGGCAGCACTCAGGAAGCTGAAGCAGAATAGCCAACGAGTTCGAAGCCAGCAAGGCGAGCCTAAACTACATAGTAAGAACCTATCGTTAAAAAAAAAAAAAAAGAAAAGAAAGAAAGAAAAAATAAAAAGAACACTGCCGGGAAAGCCTCTTAGCTTGGAGAAAAATATTATATATTTCCCTCAAGAAAGAAAATAAAAAGAACACTGCCGGGAAAGCCTCTTAGCTTGGAGAAAAATATTATATATTTCCCTCTCCTACCTTTATTGTGTTCTACCAGTCCCTGGGCGAGAAGGAAGCCCCGCCCTCCCTACTATTAGAGGGGCACCACTCACTCTGGCCCACCTCTCATTCCACTGGATAGAAGGAAGTTCTTTTTTACAAGATCAATATCAGCACATCTCACAATGCCCTCAGCACAGTGTGAGACAACACAGCCATTTAAACTGGTTAACGATTCAAATCCTCTTAGGTGTAAATTTGGGCGAGTTACATAACCCTCCTGAGCAGCAAAATGGCACATGGTCATCTATCTAATAGAGTTCCTTTGCGGATCCAGTGAGAGAACGTCCGTGAAATGCTTGGCCCAGCGCCTGACACACCGTTGAGACCAGTAAGGGGCGGTTACTATAGCTTATTGCCGTCGCCGTTGTTGGTCCAGCTGCACTGGGGGCCCCGGGAGGGCAAACTCCTGCGGGAAGCTACTCCAGCACCTGCTCAAACCCCAACCTGCTCAAATCGGGGCGCTCCCAGACAGAGCAACCAGGCGACCACCTCCTCCCTCAGCTTCTAGTAGGGCTCTTTCCCAATCGTGCCTAGAGCTCGCGCCGGGGCCTGGCCCTATCTCCTGTACGCCTCTATTTCGCTCCGCCCGCCAGGGTCACGCGCTCCAAGTTACCATTTTCTTGCTCTCGGTGCCACGGTTCGCTTGCCTAGACATGGTGCCGACTTCCTTCTTCCGCCTTGCCGCAAACCCGCTAGGCGACCCTCCAGACACAGCTCGACCCAGTCACGGCCCCTCAGCCTCCCGGACTAATCGGCTCGGCTTCACCGCGTCTGCGCGTCTGCCGATAGGCAGCATGGGACTCGTGGTCCAACACAGGAGGGTGACTCCGCCCAACAGGACTACAGCGCCCGACCGCCCCGGCGGAAGCCCCGCCCCTTGGCAGCAAAACCCCTGCGAGTCACGGAGGGCCGCGCGCTCTTGTCTTTCAGCTCCTGTACTCGGGCTGTATTCTGCCGCTGGGTGGCGTCGGTAGCTTGCAGCAGTCTGGTATCAACGACCGACTGTCCCTTCTTTCCCTCCCCCACGCCCGGCTCAAAGATGCGCTGCAAATTCCTTTCTCGCGGGTTAGTCTTGGAAAGTCCCTCTTTCGAACTAGTTGCTTCCGCTGTTGCTGCATTTCAGCTCCAAAACCTCCCAGGATGTCCCAGAAAATTAGCAATGGTTCACACACAGATCTGGCTTTTTATTTTTCCAGGGCTGAGAATTGAACCCACGATCTTGCAATGCTAGGACTCTGCTGCTGAGCTACAGTACCAACCCCCATTATTAAAAATTTTTAATGAATACCTACTCTGTGTCAAGCATTTAGCTAGTGAGTTTCTCTTCAAACTGCCAACTGGTCCCAACTCCTTAACTCAACCGACACCGGCATCCTACCACCATTTGCCTCTTCAGTGGGATATCCAGTCTTCTAGCTAAAGTCCAAGTCATCTCCTTCCCCTCCTTCCCCTAAAACAGCTACACTGCCTGGTTCTCAAAAAAAAGAAAGACCACCAGCCTTGGTAGCAAGCAGCCAGTCCCGAGTTCTGATTCAGACTTTGCCACCTGAAGGCCAGTTGCTGGATCTCATTGGGCTGCTGTGAATATTGATGATGCATACATGCATGCAAAACGCGGGGCACATAAAAGGCCCACACAGTGAATGCGTATTTGCCCTTCCTTCCAGCCACCTACTAAAAACAGCCTGGCAAATACTGGGGAATGTACTGGCTGAACCCTCACCTATCACTAAGGGGAAGTCCCACGGTCAGAGATCACAGCTCTTTGTTTTCAGCTCCAGCCATCTCTCCTTAATGGTTAAGTCTGGGGGGCTGAGCTGGGGAGGGTGGAGTCCTTGAGCATTTCAGTCTGGTAGCTTGACACTGTAGCAGCTGTATTCTAGCCCCAAGCCTTCACCATGACAACCAGCCTGTGCAGAGGAGCCAGCTTAGGCTGGGGAAGGCTGGAGGGGCCCAGAAGTTTCCCCAGTCCCTTCCTGAGGGTGCAGGACCAATCATTATTATACCCTTCTCCCTGTGGCACATTCTAGAGCCTCCCTAGAGGCAGTGACCCCTGACTCATTCCTGTGTCATACCCAGGGGAATGAGCCAAAGGCTAAGGACTCCGAGGAGGAATATGAATGTCTGTTGAAGGGGCAGATAAAAGCAGGGGACAGCTAACCCTAGGAGGTCAGCATGGTTAAAAGGCAGCCTCCCACACTCCCAGGAGAGAGGACAGCTGAGGTGAAAGCTGCAGTTGGCCAGCCTGTCTGTCGGTCTGGGCTCCTCCCTGCCGGCTGCCTTGGCTCCCCACAGAAACCTGAGTCACAGTCACGGCCAGCCGCCTGACCCCACCCAGCCTGCTGTCAGCCTTCGGTGGTTCTGGGGAAATTGGAGGTGGAGCCTCTCCCTGCTGTCCTACAGCCAGAGATTCTTCCTCTTTGCCTGTGATTCGCGTCTCCTCAGCATTGCTTTCTCCTTGGGACTCGTCCTTGGTAGTGTCATCATCCCTGAATTAAGAGTGGGCTCCATCTATTGATCTATAGGGCCTCCTCCTTACACAGAAACATAAAAGAAACAAGAAGAAAAGAAAGGAAAGAAAAAATGGAAACAAAACTTTTGTAAATGAGGGGAAGAGGGGTTGAAGGCAAGGGAGGAGAATGGGGGAAAACAGAAGCAGGATACATCATGTGCAGGTACAAATTCCCTATGATGAATGTTACCATTATGTATATCTAAAATGTACCAATAAAAAAAACATAAAAGCTCTTTTGGGGGGTACAGCACAGTGATAGAAATGTATCCTTTGCATGCACAAGGCCCTGAATTCAATCTGGGAGGGTGGGGGTAGGGGGACACTCCTTATATAGCTAGGCCAAGGATTCTCAGTGCAGTCAATTCCTTATACAGTTAATCCAAGGTTTCCCAGTACAGTTTTCATCATTCTGAAATTCCAACCCCTCTCCACCACTCTAGGGTCAAGGACAATAAGGAAAACCAGGCGCCCCTTCTCTACCTTTGCCTTTTGGAAACGGACATAAGCAGGATCAGCTTCCCATGAGGGGCTCTCACAAGGACTGCCTCCCAATCACCCAAACAGTTGAGCCTTTTTAGTATCCAGAATCTGAGTTCTTCCTTGTTCCAGTGCTTCTCCGTACTTCCTCTCCCAAAGAGCCCCAGGGCAGAGAGACAGTTGGGGTCCACTGTCGCGGGAAGCAAGCCCAGACCCAGACCCAGGCAGTGGGCCCAGGAGGCTAAGGCTCCACGGGAGAGGTAGTGTGGGTTAGAGACCCCTTCTTGCTCCAGGGCCTTGGGGTGGAGTGGAGAGGAGAATTCTTTCCACTGCCCCTGGAGGCTCCTCCCACTTCCTACTTTTGAGTTGGGAGGCCACCTCCAGGGCCTCTATCCGAGCTTCACATCTGAGTCAAATTTCCCAGTGATTTCCTTCATCTCTTCATCAGGTTCATTCTGGGCTCTACCCCACGGAACCTAGCAGGCTGTAAATGCTCTTGCTCCTGCCATCCCTCTGGGAGGATCAGGAAGAGGACTTATTTCGAATCTCACTCGGGGACCTGCCCCCAACCCCAGCCCAGCCTTGTGGTGAGACCAAGGGCTCACTCACACCTATTTTAGTGGAGGAGTAAGGGACTGCCCTGGGCTGCAGAAAAGGTGACAAGAGTTCCCTGTCCCTCACTGATGAGGGCAGAGCACCCTGTTGGGGATTTAGCCTGTGCTTCTGCAAGAGCCCCACTTGTCCCTTCTTTGAGATGCCTAACTGGATTTTTTTTTTTTTGGTACCAGGAATCGAACTCGGGACCTTGCGCTTGTGAGGCAGGTAGTGGAACCACTGAGCTAACCCCCCCCCGGCCATTTTTATTTATTTATTTTTTAAAGATAAGACTCGCTAAGTTTCCCAGGCTGAGCTCCAATTTGCGGTCCTCCTGCCTCAGCCTATCAGAGAGCTGAGATTACAGGCATGTGCCACCACTCTTGGCTAGGATGTCTAACATATATGGAATCATGTGGAGCCCCCAGAAACCATCACCTGACCCTAAACTCAGGGAGACACCATTATCAACCCCTGCTCAGTTACTGAGGCCTGGGACCTGCCAGGAACCCTGGTCAATTGGTCAATTACGGGAGGAGAGGCCCCTATTCCACCTGTCCACCTCAACTGCATCACCTGGGACACTCCACTCCCTCTCTCTCTCTCTCTCTCTCTCTCTCTCTCTCTCTCTCAGCTTTTCCTAAGCCATCTTCTCTGGTTCAAGTGTGCAAAAAGCCTTTGAGGACACCTGCCTCTCAAGTTACCTAACTCCCCAATCGCCCCACTGATCTCTAGCAACAGCATCTTGGGGGAGCTTCAGGACTCTCCATAAGGGAGGGAAGGGTTCCAACCTTGGCATCATTCACAGTCTGCGCCTGGTAATTCTTTGCTGGGGGGATGGACCTGAGCATTGCAGGTTGTTGAGCAGCTTTCCTGGCATCCACTCATTAGATTCCAGTAGCACCCCCAGATGTGACAACCAAGACATCTTTAAGCATTGCCAAATGTTCCTCTGTCCAGAGGGGACATAGAATTGCCCTTAGTAGAGAACCCCTGATGTAAGTTAACACTTCATCATGCTGCCTCTTCTCAGTGAGCTCCCCAAGTCAATTCAGATAATTAGACACAGTCTGCAGGTCTAAGAACCCCTTGATCCTCGACAGCTCCCTGGGATCTACACTTCCAAGTCAGTTGGCATTTAAGTCCTCTTACATAGCATGGGCCATTCCTGGGTGTATCTTTTCATGTGAGCTACCATTTGTCCCTCTATTGTTTCTTAGTTCTAGTCAGTGAGGATGTCTCACCATTCTTACCTATCCATCTTTGTCCCTGCAGTAACCTTAAAACTGGGGCTGGGGACAAGGAGGGGTAAGAACCATACAAGTTTCTCCTTTTTTGGTCTTTCTCTTTCTTTTCCTTTTGCTTTTTGTTTTTATGGAGACAAGTTCTCACTATGTGGTTCGGACTGGCCTTGAACTCACTATGGAGCCCAAGCTGGCCCAGAACTTGATGTGATCCTCTTGCCTCAGCTTCCTAAGTGCTGGGAGTACAAGGTGTGTATCACCATACCCTGTTGGGTTCTGTTTTCTAAATTCTCCAAAATTTATGGACCTATGCAGCTCTGGAAGATGCAGGCCCTGAGGCCTCTGACCCTACAAAGGACATTCACAGACTCCATCATCTACACATGGCCCTCTTACTGTACAGATGGGATGGCTAGCAGCAAAGATGGGGAATCTGTTCCTCATACTAATCCTCTTTTGCTCTGAAAACCCCCTCATTATCAAAGCCTTCATCATCATATTTATTGAGCACTTCCTATATACCTGGCTCTGTGCTACCCACTTCATCAGTATGACCTCATTTCTTCCCCCTAGAACTGGAGATTGAACCCAAGACCTTTGCCCTGAGCTATATCTCTAGCCCATCTTTAATTTTTTTATTTTTTATTTTAAGACAGTGTCTTACTTAATTACCCAGCCTGGGCTCAAATTTACAGTCCTCCCGCCTCAGTCTCCCAGAGTGCTGGGCCTAAAAGCATGTGCCACGGCACCAGGCTGTGCATTGTCTTAAATTTCACAGTGACTCCATGATACTTCATGACACTATTACTTTTCAGACTTTATAGGTGAGCAAACGGGTTTCAGAAAAAGCTAAATCACTAGTTTAAAGTTGTCATCAGCTCCAATTGCAGGCCTTTCATCATCATCCTCTGCTAATGAGTCTCCCTCCCACCCTCCCGTGAGGATTGAAGCCCCCCCCCACAAGTTTCAAGA